AAGTGAGAGGCAAATCCATAATACCTAACTGTAACATTACAAATTTTCTGAAACATCAAATTGGCATTATAAGATTGTTTTCTAGGAGCGAAACCAAAATAATCGGCGAGCCAATTTTATTTGACATGGAGCTTCCATGGAGAGCCAATTTAAGGGCTTTTGACAGTTTTTCTACAAGCCAAGTTCAGTGCTATATGGGAGGGGAAAAACAAAGTAATAGGATATTACTTAATTACATAATATCCTTACCACAGAACCACCACCAATGAAAGAAAAAGAACCGACACGACAAAATTGATGAACAACAATAGCTCCTGCTGTATGAGCATGATCCTACAAGTGAATAAGTAAATCACATGAATCACCTTTGAATCCATGATTGGGGTATACCAGCTGAAATGATACTAAGCTCCATAAAAGAATATGATTAAATAATTCCACACCTCCACAATAACATGGCCAGCCAGAAGAGTATTATTTGCAAAAATATTATTACTACCCACTTTGCAGTCATGGGCAATATGACAAGATCCCATTATAAGGTTGTTGTCACCAATGACCTGATTATTCAATATGTAATGAGTCATATGTTTCCATCAATTTAACAAATATAAATTTTGGATCTCAAGTCCAGAAAAAAATTGTAATTTCATACCGTTTTGTCGGATTGCTTTGAAGATCTATGGATGGATGTATATTCTCTGATTTCATTGTTGTCACCAATCTCAAGGAAGCATTCATTCCCTGGCTAAAGTAATCAAATAAGATAATTTATTAATGTCCATCTCTATCTCAAAGTAGACAATGAAGTTGAATTTACAAATGTAGACATTTGAAGTTCACTGCATTTATATTTTGGTCATAGTTAGCACAATTACACAAACATAAATTTCAAACCAAAAGATGTTGAATTGACCACGACTTAAAAACCAAACAAAAATAATTAACAAGTCAAGATGCCATGATGCAATCACGAAAAGTCAGAACATAAAAATGTTTTTGGATGACAAAAATCTCGACCTGAATCCATCAGTCATTAAAGAAAGGATAAATAGAAAGCATAGGAAGGGTCATTAACCACAAAAACTTAGCAGATCCTACAAAGCATGGATTAGACACTCTACAACAAGAAAGGAAGAAAACATTATAAATAAAACGCCAGCCAGAAAAAGAAATAGAATTAAGAAAATCAATGCTCAATTATAGTGTTAAGGTACCAACAGCTCACTTGAAGGCCAAGAAACTAGGCGTCTTCAGGGAAGGGATAGTTGAATAAACAAAGATATAACCAAGAAACAATGAGCCATTGTACTTCTAGGTCATATAGATTTCAGAATCTAATTTTGGAATCCTTATCTTGTAGAACAAAATTCAGAATAAAGATTTAAATCTTGTTCTCTATAGAGTGGGGATGGGGGGAGATACACGAACCTGATATAGAGTCAAATAGTCAATCTTTTTCTTGATATAGAGTCAAATAGTTGTTCTTGTTAACTGATATAGTGTCAAATAGTCAAACTTTTTCTTCACTTGGGTTCAATTTGTAAGACTTTTGGTTATTGCCATATTGTAAGTTAGTATCCCAGTCAACCAAGTGAAAAAGTAAATTCTTTTCGCAGGCTTATTGAGGGTGCCACAGGTCCACAACGCTGTCTTCTGGAGTGGATGTAGACAGTTTGACTTAAGAAATTTTCTAAAAGGGAGAACGAAAAAACTTTGTTTGATTCATAAGTGAAGATGATCTTGTAAAGACAAGTAATGTAGTTTAAGCTATTCAATCCCACCCCCCTATAGACTAAATCTGTCATTTGGAAACTAATTGAAACATTTTTAGCTATTAAATGCAACTTGAATGCAGGTAGAACTGATACTGCAGGCTGCAGCAATCAACATATATAACTATATAGTAAGCAGGACAGTAACTCATAATCTCTCAAATCAATACCACTCAATAGCTGCTCCTGAGAAGCATCAAATCCTATATCCAACAGCCAACACCTCAAATAAACCTGGATATTGATATATAATGCAACTATCAATCTGAATAAAATTGGGCAATTAATCAACTTCCATGTGCTATGACTAATATCGAATTCAGGCCTTTTCACATTTGCACGTGCACAGAAAGTCAGAAACTACATCTTTCAGTTTCTTCACAAATACTTATGAACCCCATGTATCCATTATCAGGAAAAGACATGCCCAAGATTTTCAAATATCAAACAGGCATTGAATGTGCCTGTATTGCAAATGATTCATAAAACAAGCCACACTTCAATTGTTGTCAGGCATAAGTAAGAAGGATAGATGCATGTCTGCGGGTGAGCGTGCATTCAGACGTTAGACTAGATCAAGCATTATTATTTGCTGGATGTCAAGTCAATCAAATGCTGGAAAATCTTGAATTTGGTACCTTGTACTTCATATCTTGGCATTTAATCCCAACCACAGCATGATGTCCAATTATATTATTGCACCCGACAACTGTACAACCTGGAAGATCATCTCCGACTATAGCACCCCTGGTTGACAGCAGTGAGCATGTTAGGTTTCATATAGAAGGAAAAGAAATTAACTGTACCTCAGTTATGATGCTGGAAGACAAAATTATCCAACTTACGCCATCAAGATGCAGTTATCCCCTAATTCTGTATTTCCAAACACATGGCTCCCCGGGTGTAGCCTACAAGCACTCCCCAACTTAGCAGAAGGTCCAATGGTACAAAAGGGACCAATTGAAACATCCTAAGTTAACAGAAATGTTCGCTCTGTTGAGACAACTGATAAAATAAAAAGGCCAAACCCCATAGTATTCAGAATAGAAACATAAAACTTTCAGGACATCAGCATTGCAAAGATACAAGTCAAAAAAATGGACGCATAAAATATTGTATTTTTTCTAGCCAAGTGACGTATCAAAATCACTAAATACTCAAATACAAGAATAATGAAGGACACACTATAGCACAACACTTTATATGTCAAAGCAAATTCCCACGATAAATAAATTTAACTATCATAACAATATATCCCTACACAGTTTATGAATATAAAGAAAGAAATTCACATCGACAGACACAATACGTAACTTCTAGTCAAAGGGACAGAGAAAATCTAATACAAAGATGAATAGAATACAAATTAGTGTTTTTTTGCACATAACTAAAGCTCGGAATTGCAATAAGGGAAAAATACCAATCCAAATTGATGCAACTTTTTAGGATTTCCAATTCGAAAAATTCATTTATATTCAAAAAAATAATACACCAACATCACCACAACATTACTCCTATCCATTTCAGGTTTTTCAGCTGGCTATTCGCGGGCCACACAGAATATAATATACTTGGCGCACTTATAGTTGATTATTATGCATGAGGAATGGTCTAAAAACTAAAGTTTTGGACTATAAACGCTTAAAATTAATACCTGACCTAAAATGGCATTGGGATGAACAATTGTAGAGGGATGAATGAAGCTAGGGTTTGTTCCCGCCGTTGTACCATTCGATTTCTGATTCTCAGTAGCCACTGTAAACGAAACAAAATAAGAATTAACGATTTTGCAAATTATCAAAAACCGTGATTACACAGAAGAGACCATGTGTGCGAGAGAGGAAAAAGTAATATACAGGAAAATGAAGAGGCGAATCGTCGAAAGGAGAATTTTCTGAGAGCAAAGGAGAGTGCCCTGCCATTGTTGAGTGAAGACATGCTCGAGAGATTTAGGGTTTTATTTTTATTTTTTCATTTCTCACAAGTATTTATAGGCATACGGGAACGTGTCATTTGACAACTGTTATTTGAAAACTCTTTTTTAGTGACAGTTTTTGGAAAAATATTATTTTGAATTATGAATTTTTGGCAAATGTATAGTTAAAAAGTAGAAGAAAAAATTTTGAATTTACATGCATAATATTTTATTGTATAAATGTGTGATTATATCCATATTTGTCTCCCATTTTTTTAAAATTTATTTTTCTATATATTTGTAAATAAAAAAAATATTTTTTTAATCATACATTCTCCTAAAAATAATTATTTAAAGAATAATATTATTTAGTCCTATTGAAATTATAATCTCAGTCTATTTTTGGAAAAAGAAGAGTTAAATTATGGAAATTCAACAATTATTGAAATTGAGAAAATAATTTAATTGCGAAAAATTCTCAAAAGTTGTGTCTCGATCTTTCATGTGCATTATTGTAAGTTCAAGTATTACGTTACATCGGACATAAGAGTGAAAAAAAAAATTATAATCTAATTTGAAGCACGAGCATGAACTTATTTATAAAACTTAGCTCATGTGACCACAAAATTATTTTTTAAAATTTCATTTGTCTACAAAATTATTTTCAACCACAAATTTTATGGAACTCAACTTTTATTACCTTTTCTACCCCTAAATTTCATTAACTATTATCAAAATCTATTAAAAATATATGTTTTAGCAAAACCGAATAATGACTAAGGAGATACCAGTGTATCTCACGAAATCTTGTAATTTTTTTCTTAAACTCATTTTCAACCTCCGAATTTATGAGATCCACAATTTTCATCAATCATATATTTTGTCAAATTTATTTAAAAATTTTGATTTTTAGCCGAACCAAACAGGGAGCTAAGTTTCTCTATAAAATAAATTGTAGTTTGTTTTGAAGTCGATCGCATTCAAAACTTCATTCGTTGTTGAATTTTTTGTACGTGTAATTTATCACTCTCTTAAGTAATTATAATTCAATCGATAATTCAATGCCTCTCATTTTCATTTTAATTGGTGTAAACACAAGCACGTGCAATCGAATAACGTCATTGCCATTTTCCCTAGTGTCAATGTTTGCTTGAACTTGAAATTGGAAACAATGAGGATTGGATTGTCGAAGTGATTGGGTGTCCCACAATTGTAACTTAATTTTTTGTGCACAATAAGTCAAAATATCAATTATAAGAAAGGGTTTTTGCCGTCCAAGTTCAAATTCTGAAAATGAGCGCGGATTGAAACTTTCAATTAGAATCATCATGATCATCGAACTTTAATTTGTCTCGTTAGGGTCATCGAACTTTTCACTTAGTTTCACCATTGCCACCGACCTTTAGTTTGTTTACCATAGCCTCTGAACTTTATAGGACAAGTGGCACTGGCTTCCTAAACTGAACTTTATAGCATCTGAAATTTAGTTCACCATAGTCTTTGAACTTTAAGATCCTCTATAACATAAAATGTTTGTTGAACCATTGAAAGGTCGATTTTTTTACTAGAAAGATTATCGTACCCTTACTCCATGTTTGGACCATATTATTTTTTTCATTATCATTCTTCTACTCATTTTCAACCACACATTTTTCAATAAAATAATACTTTACATCATATCAATAACTTTTCCTTCTTTTTCAACCACATATTCTTCATCACATCAACAATAAAAATGCATTCTTACCTTCAAAATGTGCACCAAACGGGGGCTTAGTTTGATTTTAAAAAATAAAAGAAACATAAAAAGACAAGAAAAAAATTCTATAATTTTCAAATGAAAAAAAAAAAAAGGCTAATGAATAAATTTTGTAATTTTATCTGTTTTAAATCATTTAAGATTTAAATTTGTATTTAAATTAATGACAGTATGGTGACCGATAGTAGCAGCAACATGTTGGTGGGTAGGATAGGTGATTTTGGTTTGGAAAATTAGGGGATGGTTGTCGATTGACCTTTGATGATTGCGTGTAAAAGAGTCATACAAGCTCAAAAATTGATAATATTTTCAAAAGTCAATTGTATTCTCTTTCGATTTTTCAATGGATTTTTCTCTTTGGGATTTTATGCATTTTCAAATTCAATTTTTTGATATTTGAGAAGGAAAAATGGATTTTTCTTTTATAGATCAATTATTTTTCCAAAAGTCCCTTTTTTTTAGTTATGCAATGATATATTAATAGGAGTTTGATAAGGGTACTAAAAACTTTTTTATCATTTTGTTTCATAATTAAGTTTTCATTTACAAAACTTATAGATATTTGGGCTTTTATGATATTTGTCCAGAATCGATTTGTTTGCACGTAAGACATGGGGCACTAATATCAAAGTTGATTTGTAATAATTTGAACTGAATGTCTTGTTCGTGTCCAAGTTCATTGGGTTACCCTTTTTCTTAACATAGAAAGGGACACCATGCAATAGTAGTCTGCTCCGCTAGACTACCTTCCGCTTTCTCTCGGTCATTTCGGGACGAAAAGAAATTTGATTACAATTTAAAAAAAGTTTATAATATGAAATTGAAATGCATTGAAATAAACTTGATAGTTGATTGCTTGAAAGTTGAACATTACAATAGACGAAAGCGGGAAATTACAATAGTTAGTGCAGGGGGCGAACACTAGAAAGCTTGAAAATGTTTGAAAGACTAATACCCTCTATAATAGACTTAGCAACAAAAATCCATCTGACGGGAGTAGACGTTAAAAGCCGAGAAATCATACTAAACTTTTCTAATTTCCAACTATTTTACAATTAAATGAAATATTTACAATGTGCAGTCAAAGTTGGGAAAACTGCGGCTGCGATAGAGTCACGGGGCTTAAGTAAAGCTGCAGTCCGTGACATTCTCCCTCATTTGTTTTGGCGTTGTCTTCGAAGTCCTTAATGAATGATATGCTTGATGGTTTGAAGGCTTCAAGGTCTTTTCCATTTGCCCAATTCTTCTCCTCGCTGTTACATCCATTCCATTTGACCAAGTACTCTTGA